GGAGCGATCTGGCAGCGGGAGGATGCGAGCAGCCACCACATCCGAGCTCCAGGATGGGAGGATGTGCCTGGCTCTAACAAGGGGCTGAGGGCTGTGCTGGTTCCTCCTTCCCTGGGCATCCTTGGAGGATTCCCCGTTCCCCGGGGAAACTATACATCCATTTGTGTGACTTATCCAAATGCCCTTGGCTGTGGCTGATGACCCCGTGGGGCAGATCCTGACTCTCCAGACCAGGCATGGGATGTGCTTGGCCTGCGTGGGAGCTGTGGAAGCTCTCAGGGCACTGGAGGGGAGCAACCCTTCACCTCCAACCTGGGCAACTGAGCAGGACCTGCCCCTGACAGAGACACCACCAGATTAGAGGTGACTCACCATAATCTTGAAGAAGTGGATTAAATCTCCTCCTACTGTGCTACTTAATGAAATCCATCCCATAATACACTCCTGGCCCTGCTGTTCCCCCTTATCCCCTGCCAGCCCCGTGGCAGCTGGGTCTCCCCTCCCCGTGGGGAGGCAGGGCAGAGTGTGGGCACAAGGTGCTGGCAGCAAACAGCCCATGCCATGGTGACCCTGCGCTCTGTGGGACACGGCTGTGACTGTCCCCAGCATGTGGCACTGGCAGGAGCTGTCCTGTCCCACTCCTTACAGAAGAGTGGGGGATCTCTCTTGGGCTCCCTGCTGGTGCATCACACGCTGGGTGTCTGTTTTCCTCTGCTCACCAGGCCAAGGAGACAGGGGCTGTGCTGCTTGGCTGTGCCTGGGAGGGTGAGCAAGCAGCGGGGAAGGATCCAGCTCAGGGCCAGGAGCAGGAAGGAAGGAAGGAAAGCAGAGTTAAAATAAGCCAGGCAATGAGCTGTGAGGGAAGCCAGGGCTGGAGCTGGCTCCCAGCCCCCAGAAGAGGGGCGGACTGGAGCGGACTGGGCTCAGCATGGTGCTGGGGTGGGGGCACCATGGGGCAGGAGGATGCCAGGAGCAGAGGGGCAGACTGGGCTCAGCGTGATGCTGGGGCACCCTNGGGCCGGACACATCGCTGTCACCACCTGCGTCACCGCGGGATGCGGCCTCACGTGAAGGCCGGGTGGCCCAGGGTCAGGGCTGACCTGAGGGAGGTCAGACCCGAGCAGTGTCCCCAGCTTGTGCTGATCCTCTGTGCATCTCCGAGCCCATCCGGGGCCTGAGAGGCAGCGGAGGCACTTGTGGGAAGAGCTGCCTGCTCTGTTGTTTTTTGGGATTTCCAGAAAAGGCTGGAGGAGTGAATCTGAAAGTGCGACTCGCAGGGGGGCCTGGGGCAGCGGGGCTCAGAGCTGTCCCTGCAGTGTCCCTGTGCCCTGGCTAGGGGACCTGCTCCCTTCTTTCTTCAGCCTGAAAGCAGAGGGGGCTGGTGGTCCTGTGCGCTGGGAGGATGCTGGAGACGGTATTGGACCTGCAGGATGTGTCCCTTCCCCAATATTGTCCCCTGAGCCCCTTTTCCATCGTGTGCCATCCCCAGGAGCTCCGTGGTGCCTCTGCCGGGATCTGACTCCATGGCCCCTCGCCGGGAGTGGCAGCTGGTGCCGCGGGGGGTGGATGTGTCAGTCGCTCTCTTCTTGGCAGGGAACGAACGACAGAAAAGCCCTGACTGTGCCTGGTCTCCCACTGCCTCAGCTCCGGGGCTGCTGCCCGCCTGCACCCCTGCCCACGCTGCCCACACTGGGATAGGGGTGGTGGGGACACCCGGGGCATTCAGCTGCAGATGGATCACACAGCAGCCAGATAAAGGGGGATAAAGGGGAGGGAGGGACAACTGATGGGCTCCTCTCCATCCCCTGCTTTGAGAGCGGGTTGTGGGGCCGGTAAGCGTGGCTGTCACGTGGAGGTTGAGATTAGGGCAGCAGCACTCACCAGGGCACTAATGCAGGAGATAATTGGCTGAAGAGGTGCTTAACACACGCTGCAGAGCTGGGCAGGACAGGCAGCTGGGCTGGAACGTGCCCTCCGTGCGAGCCCACGCTCACCGCTGGCATCGTGGTTGGCATCGGTGCCGTGGTCTGTGCTTTGAGCCCTGCCTACTCCCTGCCAGCTCGGTGGCACCGTGAGCAGGATCCCTGCTCTGGCTGCAGCTCTGCCCTCTGTCTGGGGGTGTTCTGTGCTGTCATGGCCCTGGGTGCCGTGTCCTCTTTGCTCCACTGCTGCCTTACCCATCCCCTGCTCCTGCTGCGCCTCGCCCAGCACTTGTTGGGTTGAAGATCCCCTGGAACAGCCTGGAAGGGAGCAGAGACTGTTCCCTGCCATCCCCCAGGAGGATGTTCCCTGGGCTGCCAGGGAGCAGAGACTGTTCCCAGCCATCCTCCTGCGCTGAGGAGCGTAGGGCAGCTGCAGACGGGAAACTCCTCGCGTTCCCTGCTCGCTGCTCGCCCGTGCAGGGGGAGAAGCAGAACCTGAATGCTGCAGGGCGCTCCTGGGTTTGTGCCACACATCTGCACCCCAAAGCGCTGCACGGGGACCACATCCCCCGTGTGAGCCTGGCAGGGTGGGGGGCTGCAGGGAGGGCGTTGTGTCCTTGCAGCCATCA